CCTGTCCAATCTTGTGTAAAGGTACACTCCACCTTCTATATCTTTAAATGTGCAGTTCAGGAATACCAAGAAGAAGATTCCAAAGAGTGTAGGGGCAAAAACACATCTTTGCTTTTGGAATTCAACAACACATATTCTGAAAAACACAAGAGCAAAGCCTAGCAGTTTCAGTTCAATGAACAAAACATAGGCTTTTCACCTACTGGTGCCAATTTTCAATCTTTGACTGCATAACACATTGCTATATACTAGTGCAGATCCCTTTGCAATTAAGATTGGAGGTCTCTAAAAGTGAAGGAGAAAACACTACTGTTTCTATGATTTCTGATTCAAGCTAAACATATGGATCATAATAGACAAAAACAATTGACTTATGAGACAGTAAAACAAAAGTTTTAGATGATACAGAGTCATGGGAATATGTTTTGAATAGTGGATCTGGATTGTGGATTTAGGTATAAAAGACATCTAGCATGTCATGAGAAAATTGTATTTTTTTTTAAAGTTACTTAACTATAACATTTCATCTTTGATTGACAAAATCTTTAGAGATAAAGAAAAATACAATATAATTTAAGAATTTACACAGGTGTTTTTTCCCCCTTATAGCATGGCAAGAAGAATATTGGGTGATCCTGTTTCAAAATGTGCAGTAGGAATATTTTCCAGGTATGTAATAAACAGCTTTGCTAAATAGAGCCAACCAATATAAAGAATGACTTAACCTTAGTGATTGGCAGTGTATCAAAATCAAATAATAATAAAACAGCACTGTACACCTTAATATCTTTCCTTTCCACTAGCACACACTGCTTCCTGTATTCATCGAGAGTGTATCTTGAGAGCGCCTAATCAGGATTAAGCACTACATCAACATATGAAATCAAGCTAGTATTTCCTCAGAATTTAATAAACACTTTTCCTTCTTTGCACCCCCACATTAGTTTCTCTTCCCTTACAATATTTTTAACCTTGTCCTGCACATATGTTCCTTTTCTGTTCTTTCATTCCTTTAACTCAAAAGCCTGTATTATTTCTAACTCTTCCTGTCTGTATCTTTTTCTTAATCTCTCTCCTGCAGTGACCTAGTCACAGAGCTGAAGGCTCTGTTCTTTTTGAGCTGCAGCTGGGAGCTATTGCTGCTGTGATGCTCTTTCTACAGCTTCCATGTAACAGCTGTAGCTGAAAGCAGAATTGATTTCTGTCTCTTGTGCTGATCAAATAAATGGCACAAAATGCAGGAAAGGAGAGAGGCTGAGACATGGTTTCAGAAAACAGTGCTGTGTGAATTGCACACAGTGGCACCCTTGCACATTACAAAAAAAGCATCAGAAAATAGCCACATGTTGCAGGTTGTTAATCCAAGCTAAAAGACAATCCCACATTTGACAAACCCCCCAGGAGTATTAGGAAACCTAAATCAGTCACTTACCAGTTATTGCATATGCTGTATTTATGTTTAACCTTGCATTGTATTCAAACCTTTTCTAAGGCCTAATTATTTTTGCGATGGACGTCCATGACTTCTGACTTTATAACATTAAAAAGAACAAAAAAATTCCCTAATATTACTGCGATGTCCCAGTGTATCCTGACTTCTCCCTGAGCCTGATTCTCCACTGCTTTATGCATTGTATCATTTTTTCTATTAGAGCATAGTGGCTGCAAAATACTGCCATCCAAACTAACTTACATTAATAAAAGATGCCTGGTGTGGCTTTGAAAATGCAAAATGTCACTCACACTTATCACTTGCATAGAGTATATAAACATTATTTATTATTTGTTGGTTAAAACAATCTTCAGATCTTGAACATCTCAGTAGTACAGAGGGTAGCATTTTCTCAGAAAACTATGTACCACTACTGTCGCAAACAACACCTAGAATAATTAATGCTTTTCATTTATGTCTGTGCAGCTCTCTTTCATTTTATAGGAGTTGTATGAAAAGGGAGGAAACTGCTAAATCTATTTAATACTATTCTACATATTTATATTTTTCTGGTTCCTTCTTAAAACATCATTGTCAGTATAAAATGGAAGTGCATGTTCTTACGTGCCTTATTTTTCTAATTTCTATATAAAATGAGTAATGATTATTTCTATTGTGGATTTCAGTTTACCTTCAGTATTTAATCTACTCACACCAGCTCCTCTCAGGCCATCCACCACTTATACCAAGTATCGTTCTTCTAATCATTCAAAGACTTTTCTGAATGCAAAGATACTTAAAACAGTGTAGAATAAATGCAGCAGATAAGATATATAAGCTATTCAACACATTAACATATAGTGATCAGGCAATATTAAGATCATGACACAAGTGACACCAAAATCTGCCCTTGCTGCTATACATTTTCAAAGATTGGCCAACGTATAAATAGTTGATTAAAAAAATTCTAGTTTGCACACACTCACTAGAGACCATATATAGTTTGGTGGTTAAAAGTCTCACAGGATGCTTTTTGCACTGGGCATGCTTCTGTTCTTCTCAACTTCTGTGCACCAACCAGATGGCAAACAAGCTCTCTCTCCAGAGTGACACAGCATATCCCATCTCAATGCTGTGAGGATGGATTAGGATTTTCCAAGTGACTGCTCTTCCTGCCTGCTGTGGATAGTTGTGCTGCCAAGAGAACTGAGAGCAAGGATGCTCTCTCTCCTGTGCTCTCAGTACACATTCATGACATTAAGCAGCTCGGACAAAGGAGAGGACAGACAGCCTACAGGCATGGACTAGGAGGGACACTCAGATTAAAGAAAGCTTGAAGGAGAGGAAGACTGGGACAAGCTGTTCAATATGAAAAGAAGAGGGTGGGATGGAAGTGGGGAAAGAAAGTGTTGGGAAGGGTAAGAAGGAGGGTAAATTGGGATGAAGAGTGTGGGGATGAAAAGAGATTGGGAAGGAAGATGGGTGAGAAGAGGGGGAAGAGAGGTTACGTGGGTGAAAATTGAGACTGAGGCAAGGAGTAGAGAGGGAAAATGGGGGAAAAAGGAGGTGGGGGTGAAGTGCCAAGGCTAGGAGGGAACAAAGGAAGAAGTATGTGTGACCACAAGGATGAACACAAGATTATTATTACTTTACAAGCTTGGAATGAAACACAAGATTTCTGAGTCTCATCATACCTCTCTTGTCAGTCTAAGTCTGTTTGTTTAATAGATGAGCAAAAGAGAACACATGTGATTGATACATCACAAATCTCAAAAGGGCCTTCACTCAACAAGGAGTTAGAGAGAGAGAGATCCTGCAGAGAGATAGATCACACTTTTGAAAGAGACACCCAGATACCACATGAAGAATTGCTGCAGCACAAAAAGAAAATCCCCACAAATCGCGCACCGTTAGTTATGCCATACCATCCCTCCCTGGAACCTATATGGAAAATCCTCAAACAGTTGCAACCCATACTAGAAGAAGATTCAATTGTTAAAGAGATCTTCCCAGAACCAACCATACTAGCCTTTAAACAGGCACCGAACCTGAACAATCTCATCACTAGAAGTGAACTTCTAAAATGCACTGAATAGATCCAGACCATGCTGGGACAAGAAATTTAAAACCTGACAACATATCTCCACTACTCCCACACTAACTATACCCCACAACAGAAACATCAGCATTCATGGATCTTACACCTGCACCTCCAAAAATGTAATACATCCTATCCAGTGCACTGTATGCCCTGATGAAAAATATGTAGGAGAAACCAAAAACTATGTACCAGAATGAACGCACACCAAAAATTTATCAAAGACATATATATCCAATTACCTGTGGTGCACACTTCTCACAAGACAACCACTCTTTCTCCAGTCTCTCAGTTCTAATCCTCAAAGGAAATTTACAAAACACCTTTTGTAGACAAGCATTCAAACTGCATTTTATAAATCTACTGGATACAAAAAATCACAGACTAAATATAGACATTGGATTTATAGCACATTGTAACCTGCCTGCCATCCAATAACCCCAGGTAACCTCTATACATTTTACTGGCTATATTTGATCATCAGGTCAATATTCCCCCATTTTCCTCCCTCCACCTACCTGTCTCAAACCTAATGTCTCCCATGGTTTCTGATTCTCACTGCCACTTGTTTGCATTTTCACAGATCTACATTTTGCATGTTGGCTTCTAGTCCATCTAGGAGAACACAAAACAACAGCAGACTCTCCCAGTGCCTGAAAAACGGTGTTTGTGCCTGAAAGCTTGCAAAGAACAATTTTTCCAAGTATTAAGTTGGTTTAATAAAAGATATGACATTTACCCAAAGAACCTTGTCTGTATACAAAGACAAAGTCTCAAAAGTTAAGAAATGTGTGAATTGAAGTTACTTATTAACATAGTAGATTTCACTCATTAACATTTGCTATATAAAAGACTTATATTTTTCTAACATTTTCATCCAGGCAAAAACAGCACTGGCATTGTTTCGTTCTTATTTTGGTACATTTAATGCATACAAGGTACTAACACATAAGTGCGCATAGACTTTTTTTTTCTCCCAAAATTAGCATTATTACTTTATTTGGTGATTCATTACAATCTGTATATCCAACAGTCAAAAAATAAACTAAGCATAATGTTAAAGCATTTTACAAGCAAAATACTTTACTGTTTTTTTTTTTCCCAATTGGCATAGAGTTTGATACGTGTACTGGCTAAAGGATATACTGTACATAAAAACCAAAACATAGTTCTTTGAACTAGACTGAAGAGAGTTAAATCTTGGGAGTCAGCTAATTTTAATTGAACAAACTCTCAGTGAAAAACCATATACTTGGAGCCTTTAACATGGCTGCCTTTCCACGAACATACTGTATCATGAAGGCGATAAGCAACTGAACTTCTCTTCTCATGATGTTGTAGATCTTCCTTATCAAAGAAATTAAACAACCAAAGAAGCTGGAATGGGTTTAACTTAGCCTGATGTACATATATATATATATATACACACATGTACATACATGTATGTATATATTTTATAAAAGGGTCAGAATATAGAGATCAATTTTGAAAGCTACTGAGGAAACCATTTATAGTAATGTTCGATTCCAACATGTTCCATCTCATGTAACTAACAAGCTTAAAGTTTAATCCCCACCGATCATTTTTCTATTTGTCATTTCTCTGTTTCAATGTGCAAACCCAGATTTGTTCCACTGTCTAACAACATACAATGTAGAAGTAGATGCTCCTTTGCCATAGTAACCACATCTCTGATCCTCCAACTGTATATCTCTGGCTTTAACATCTTACAAAACTAAAAAATAGTTGATCTAGGTTGTAATAAAAAAGAATATTAAATACCTTTGGTAAAAATAGATATATTTAACAAGTTTAGAAAAGCAAATATACTGTCAAAAAGAGAGTATAAAAATGTACACAATAAAAAATACAAACAAAAATTGTAGGCCATAGTAGTGAGAATAAAGCCATTGTTCTTTTTAGTGTTCTCCTTCTTAGCTCACACTTATTGTCCAGTCAGCTTTTTTTTAAAGGCAGGAGTTTTAAGAGTATGGAAAAATCCAGTCTTTTCTAGTATTAGACAAATTAAGTTTAATTCAGAACAAGGCAATTTGTTTTAAACCATGTTGGTAAGACACAGAACACTCTGATTTAGAGCACATGGGTTGTTGAGTACAGAAAGACAGATTCCAGATGTTGTCAACTGTAAGCCAGGTGTAACTAAAGCTGTAGAAGTAAGACAGCCATCAGGGTCAAGTCTTCATGATGTGAGAATTCTAATTTTTATACTCCTAAATATAAAATCCATGTAATGTCGAGACAACTGAAAGAGACAATATATATATATCTTTTAAATCCCTTATTGATGCCTTTCTCCCATCCTTTGACTGGGCCTCCAGTCAGAGCTGTTATACAACATATAATCCCAGTTTGAATTTTCCTCTTTTTAGAACTCACTGTAAATCCTGAAGATGGAAGATTCCCAAAGCATACAACTGAGATTATAAAGGAGATAATGCACAAGCCCCATAACAGAATTAGCCATTGATTGAATGTGCTTTGGAAGAAACAAGCACATTTAGTCACATTTATCCTTCAGTATTCCCTTTACACACACAGTCACACTCCTCATGGTGTTCCAGGGGTACATCTGTCAATGATTTATGCAATCCCTTTATGCCGCTCCTGGGCTTCAGTTGAAGAACCTGAAAGAGGACAATACAAGCCAATCCTTTAAATAAATCATTAAATGGTTTTGAGTCTGATATACAGTAGTAGTAAATTGGAAGACAGGAAAACCACCAAAAGAAACTCAATCACTCCACAGCTGAGTTTCCTCATTTATTCCATTCATTAGTTTTTTTTGTTTTGGTTTGGGTTTTTTTGGCTTAACTTCAAGCCTACTACAAACTTTCTTAAGACATTATATGCAGGCATTTACCTTGGTCAAAACAACCTTGTTTGTAGTTGGGATTGCTTGGATTTTTTTTTGAGCACCAAATATATTATCTGACTTGACAGTAAATTATGGTTCTGGTTAAAATATCTTTGGCTTTCAATTTTCAATTATGTACAATTTATAAGAACATGTTTTCAATTTTTAAAAAATCTTAGACGGTTTACTGACACTTGTGAATTTGCACAGTGTCAGGATATTATATAACCTATACATTTCTTTGCTAACAGAACAATATAGATGCTTCACCTTGTGATAGCTGGAAATTAACCAATGTCACTATGTGACATATACCACTTCCTTTACTGTTAGTAAGTCAGTATTAGGCATATCAATTCTTTGTGCTTGATTGTAAAATCATATCATATTTTACAATACGATTACAATATGATTGTAAAAAATATGAAGGGCACATTGGGTCACAGAACCCATTCCTGTGGGTATACTCACAGATATTAAACTGATATATTTAGGTTATAAATAATGTCAGACACTGGAAAAGCTTTCCAGGCATTAGAGGTTGGGAGGAATCAATAAATAAATAAATACTGCGCCCCTCAACCCCACCACCAAAATAAGCAAAGAAACAAAAGTCCCTTCCTCCTCTCCTCATCCTTCCCCAGTCTTCATCTCCTCCTCTCCACCCTGCAAATTGTGAAATTTCAGACTGGTCAATTGACCTGTTGAGTTGAGCCTGAACAGTCATCATTTCCATTCACTCTTGTTATGAGAAACAGAATAGCACCTCCTGTTTTGCTCAGGTTAAATAAATAATTCAAACATAAGTTTCTGCAGTCTATAATACCACATATGTATCAAGCCCCTTTTCTTCCACTAGAATATCCCAAAAAAATCAGTTGAACATGTATTTTTGAAAGTCAGAAGCATTTATCACGTTTACTTGCATATCCCACGCTCCCTCCCCACCCTGTCCCAAAATGTAATTCTCCAAAATCAGGATGTATGTCTTAATTGAGGAAACTGATGTCTGTGCTGGAATGGAGGCATAGGGATGCTGGAATGGCTGCAGGGGTTGTGCCGGACTCCATTTCAGCAGCAGCAGTGAGAAGGTTAAACCTAACTATTGAGCTGCAGGAAGAGGGTAAGTGATGCCGAGGAGTGGACTCCACTCCTTCTCCATGGCCAGTATGCAGCCATAGTGAGCTCATGTTGTGGCAAGATTCTGGAAAAAACTTTTTTTCTTCATACTGTCTTCACAAATCAAGGTACAAGTCTTATTTTGGGGCACGAGATAAGAGTAAATGTGGTGTATTTTCTTCATAAGCCATAAATAGGGTGACACATGACTATATCGACTCTCTCTATTTATTCTTGGTGCAAGGGAGAGCTTTCTTCAGATGAGTCAATGTATAGTCACACTAGCAATGCCCCGGGAACTGCATTCTGTTGCATGTTAATGTTGACTGTTAACATTGACATTAAAGATTGGTCATTCAGTGCAGTGGTCAGGAAACATTTTTTTGTAGTTGCAGCCCAGAATGACACAGTTAAGGTCCAAAGTTGGCCACCAGTAGGGCTCATAGATCTGGCCCACAGGCTGTAGGTTGCTGACCCCTGTTTTAATAAGTTTGTTTTTTTTCTTGTCTCAAATGTAAAAAACACATAATGAAGAACATACCTCATGGTATTTTTTGGTGACTTTTGTTGGGACGCATTGGCAGTCATTGCAATTATGCTGACAGCAGGCACAGTTTCCACCACAACGTTTAACCAGTAGACACAGTGGCCAAAAGATGGTATCAGTTCGCTTTAGCTCCTCCCTTAGCGACACTGAGAAGTTGCGAGGAGTGCAGCTGTACAGTCGTACCTCCTCCTTTAGAAGGTTCAGGTCTACCACTGAATAGCAAATAAACAGAAATGATTTTATATTTTGTCTATCAAATTCCATCAAGTAAATACAGGAGAATTCCTGTGTGTTTAAGACATTCGTTTTATGTGAACCCTTCCTTAAGACAATTCCAACCAAGCCCCTCTACAATCACTGAAGTCAGCATGATACAGTTCCATTATATGTCAGCGGTGGCAAGATGCCAGTATCTTCTGCATAGAACCCATTCCCATCAGTGCTATGAAGCTCATTTCAATCTGGGTTCCTTCTATGCTTCTACAGATGACATATGCAGATTCATAAATTATTTCCTACCTAGGGAGAAAGACGGTGCAAAAGAAGGCAGGTGTACTGCACCAGCCTTACTGGTCTCAAAAGTGGCCACATTCCCACTCTGTTGCTTAGGTGTGGGTAACAAAGAAGGATTCCTTCCCTCCCCAGCTCTAATGGATACCTCCTATGTCAAATTCCAGTATCCAGACAGGGTTTTCCCCATAAACTGAACTTCAGTGCATGGAAACAGACTTGGAGGAATTATTATTCTACTGCATCAGGAATTAAGAATTGGCAAAACCCACTCCCCCAAAAACCCTTGTCATGTGGTTAAGAATTTTGCATACCTTAAAGCAATTCTTTTGAGTTTGCACTACTTGTTCAAAACACACAATTTTTTCTCTATAATTTACGTTAATGCTGAATTCAATTTAAAAGGAAAACAAAACATTTTTTCTAGCCAAAGGGAAGACTATGCTATGGGCCAGTAATGGAGGAAGAGACAGAAAGTAATACTGCCACCAGTGAAAGTCTTATGTACAATACATTTGAATAAAAATAATTATATTCTTTGTCCCTTTGCTGTTCAGTCAGTTTTTACATGTCAATCTGCTAGCACTCAAATCTATTTTCAGCTGTTTTTGAATCTCTGCTTCTCTTCCTCTAGCACCTTCGGGTATGTGTACATTCATCCCCAGTGCTCTCAGCACTTTCACTGAAGAGCATGGCTCCACCACTTGCTCCCCTTACACATGCCAAGTCTAGGAATGCAGCAATGAAGACACTCCAGGGATGCCACTGCCACTACCCGTCAAACACACTGGAGACAAATCTCAAGACCTGAGGCTGCTGCATTTCCAGGTTTGGTGTGAGAATAGATGTGGGTGCATGCTCTTTAGCAGCTGTTTCAGTGTAAATATACCCTTAGCCACTAAGGTAGAGCTAAAAAATATTCTTGTTTGAATCAGATTTTTCAACCTGTTAAAGTGTGACTCTGGGGTTTAATTGGGTAAATTAGGTAAAAGACGGCAATCCATCTCCATCAAACACAGACCTTTACAATTTCCCTCTAAATCAGTGGTTCTCAGCCTTTTTAGACCATGGACCAGAAGTGACCATGGACCAGCATGCTGTAGACTGGAACTGACTGGCATACTGCGCACCGGCAGCCAATCCTTTTTTATACTCAGTATACTAAGAATAAAAAAGTATAAAAAAGGGTTGGCTGCTGATCACTTCCGGACTTCCACTCCGGCAGCCAGTCCTCCTACGAACCAGCAGCCACCCCTTTGTGGCCCAATACCTGGGGTTGGGAACCTCTTCTCTAAATAGTTTCCAATGTATCATAATACCATGCCAAAAGCTGAGGAGCTTATCAAAATTCCAGAAATAGGGAAGTATTCTTCTGGTTCCTCTAATTTCACGGACAAGAAATAATGGGCCTTGAAGAAATTGGGACTGGTTTAGGGGAACAATGAAAATGTTTTTATTAGCATAGCTGTGATGAAAAGCTCTGCAGTTTGGCTTCTGGCAGAAAAGCAGGCTATTACAACCTGTGATATTTGAACTGGCCCCCAAAGAGTAAAAGGAATGTCCAGTTCATAGTGGTGTCTCCTATTTTTTCACTGGTTAGTTACCAGCATTGTATTTTCCTCTATGTAAAACCCTAAGCCAACCTGGCTGTTGGGAATACTGAAATAAAAATCTCAAACAAACTCACACTGACCTTTAAACCCAACCCTTTTCGAAGAACCTTGGACAGAAACCTGGTCAAAATCAGCCCCCACCCCCCCCCCCCCCCCC